CGGGAGAGAGATCTCCCATCAGCATCATAACTCCACCTCTGTGAGAGGCGGTAACTACATTGGCGGGAGAAGCTCTCCTGCCAACATAGGGCTGTCCACACCAACGCTTAGGTCAATGTCACTTATGTCACTCAGGGGGGTGGATTATTCACACCCCTGAGTGACATAAGTGATACTGAAGTAAGTGGTAGTGTAGGCAAGGTCTCACTTGCACTCTGCTTCTCTCTTTCTCCCCCCCCAGAAATCCCCTGCCTTCATCCTCTTGGCACTAGTTCATTTCTACTTCCCACAAAACAATTCTTATTCAGAAGTGAAAAGGGTCTTTGAACAAGACTTCTTTGTGTGGGTGGGTGAGTGGGTGGGTGGGTTTCTGTTTTTGTGGGTAGGAAAAGGGCAAATTGAGATGTTTTTATTTATAATTGCCTGGAATGTTCTGAATCTTTTTTTTTTCAATTGCAGCACAATCTCGTACTCTGCCTTTTGTTAAAACTAGTTTAAACTAAACTTTGGGTCACCCCAGTTTCAGTTAACACAGCTAAAAATCACAGAACAAGATTTAAAAATAGGTAGCTTCTTGCCGAGACTGGGGAGCATGGAGTAGAAAATGCCCACCGAAGCTCTATTGTGCTGTCTGCTTTTAAAAGAAATATTACTGTCACTTGATGGAAGAAGCACAGTATGTGAATAAAGTTAATGGTGATTCCTAGGTGAGTGTTCAGCTAATACGGCAGTATTATGGCTAAAGGGATTCAAAAGGCCAAAATCTGCCTTCAGATATGTGCCCAGGACTTCCTTTGAAGTTAATGGAAACTACACCCATTAATCTATGGGCAGAATTCAGCCCGTAAGTATGTCAGAGTCATCTTCTTTATTTCCATAACATGTTTATTCCAGATCAACTTTCAAAATGCACCTTGGAAAGTTGCTTAAGGTGTGGTTTTTTCAGAGGTGCTGAGTACCCAAAACTTCCATTTGAAGTCAGTGGGAGCTGCAGGTGCTGAGTAATTAGGCCCTCCTGTCCCTTTTTGAATCTCACCATCTGTGAAATAAGAGTATTTAATTAGACCATGATCAATATCCCACCGAAGTCACTGTGCGCCTTTCCACTGCCTTTGGATCAGGTCCATAGCTGCGTCACGAGGGTGTTTGTTCAAACATTGATCGGTGAGAGTGAAGCATTTCTACAGTACGCCACCTGGGAACTTAATAACTGAGGCCCACATGATAAAAAAACATGACTCATGTTCTGAAATGGGTCTTGCAGCACTATTCAATATTCATTCCTTCAAAAGGTATGTTTCTTACATCAGCATTCAAAATAAAATAACGGGTCACAGGGCTGTTCTTAGAAGATGGCCCCTTCACTCCTGATGCAAGCTTGCCTTTTGAAGCTCATGTCATCCACCTGCTCTGAATGACTAATAACTGCTCCGGTGTTAGGGGACCGGACTCTAAGGGAGAGTCTGGCAAAGATATGTCAAAGTTTGTAGGTGGAAGTAGGCATCATTTAGCCATAATCCATCCCTCAATGAGGTTGTTGCAACCTGTCCAAGGTAAATTCACTACCTCCATTTAGCATCTTCTTCATGAGCATGGTCTTACAACTCATGAACTGCACAGCAAAAACACATGGAAGGGCCTTTTATGGCCCATCAATTTAGCATTCTGAACTGCACAGGTCTGTAAGGTAGTCTGGGGTAGATCCTCAATTGCTGTAAATTGTTGGAGATTTATTGTTGTCAATGGAGCGAGGACAATCTACATCCGCTAAGGGTCTGCCCCTCTGTCTGGAAGAGAATACAGCTCTGGTGGCAGAGACGGTCCCAGAGCTGGAAGCGGTATCGTGGAAGTGAGTGAGGTCTGTTTTCTGGTCAGCTGCTATAGATTAATAACTGCACTGAGGTTAAAAAATCTGCATATTTACATTCTGAATAATGACTTTCTCAGTACATCAGGTAACAATGTGCTTCCATTAACAACCTGTGTAAATAACAAGGTGCATCCACTTTTATCTATAATAGTATGATTTTATTATTACTACATGTTCCAGAGGACAATTGGTGCTCCAAAGGCATTCTCTTGCATTTTACCACTGTGCAGACACTGGAGTCATTAGAAGGGCAGCCAAATGGCAAACATTATCTCTACTATATTTAGTTAGCTAATTTAATACATTCGGATGTCTTGTTTTGCTGCACAGATTCCCCCTTCCTCTTCCAGGGTTCAAAATGACAAACAGCGTCTGCAAGACTGTATTATACAGCAGAGCAGGAAGCTAAAAAGAGGAAGAAACACTAACTACAGCAGGGGTTGGCAGCCTTGGCACGTGGCTCATCAGGGTAATCCACTGGCGGGCCACTGGAGCCTTTTTTTTTACGTTGACTGTCTGCGGGCACACACACACCCCCCCCCCCCTGTGGGAGGCCTTGCCTGTGGACAGTCAACATAAACAAAATGTCTCGTAGGATTACGCCAGCGGATTATCCTGATGGGCCGTGTGCCCAAACTAACATTGTAATTCTGAGCTCTAGCTTAGAAACCTGAGCCAAAAGAACAATCTAGCTGTATGTGAGGAAATTCCCCAGTCATTTGTTTATCGGACATAAGTAGCAGCAAGATGTAGCTGTGTGACCTGTGTCCTTTATGGTCAGACATGCCCCCGGTGCCTGCTGCCCTCCAGGCTCAAGGAGACACAGAATTCTCTCAGCGATCCTTGAGTCTCTGTGGGGAAGTCCCAGTTTCCTTATGGACCAAGCAATGTTCCACTCTTCACAACTGAAATTACAGAGCCTGACAGGGATTTCCACAGCCGCTTCTGCTTTCCTGTGTGGCCATGACTTCCCCCCCACAGCTACGCTGCACGGAAAATGGACATATTACCCTTGTGAGTAAAACTTGTGTGCAGGAGACAGAGCTGTTGTGCAGAGACCTGCACTCTAAGTTGCCCAAGGTAACAACAGTTCACCTCAGCCTGTTACAAAAAATTGCTTCTAAAAGTCAGCAAAAAGTTAGACAGACTGAATTTGTCCAAACGAAAAGGTCTATTGACGCCACCCAACGACTGTGTTAAGATCATAAGTAGTGAGCAAAGGAGAATGGAATCAGAAAACAATGGATCAAAATTAGGGTGTCAGAACTTAGATCTAAGTGGTCAACAAAATAATGAGGGGATGGGCTATTCCATCAATCACCCTCTTCGTTGGAGTCCTTACGAGACTTTGGGGGGAATCATGAAGCTGGGGTAGAGATGGGTGGACTGGAAGGAGTGAGTGTTACCATCATGGCTGCCATCCCCACTTCTCCTGGGTCCCTAAAATCTACCATGATACCATTGGTTCTTTATCGTCCTGATCCTGAAAGGCATCCTGACCAGTCTGGGCCAGAGAGAGAGAACCAATGACAGCGCCACCTCCACTGGCTTTGGCTAAATCCCGAACAACACCTGAAATGTGAGCCATGGGATCATGCTGTCGCTCCCTCTCTAGTGTCATTTTCCTTCCCCACCTTATCTCTTCTTTATGTTTAATAAGTTCCCAGCTTAGCTGGCCAAGACTGCATCTTTCGCAACACTGCTATGAGCCTGGGACCAGCAAGGCTGCTAAAATCAATGCCTTAAACACCCCAATGCTAACACAAGTTTGCCAGGTTTCATAGATGCTGGTCGGACCGTGTGTGGTGCCCAGTAGCGGCGCCAGGGTTTTTGCCACCCTAGGCGGCAGCGTTCCTTCTCTGAGCATTCGGCAGCGGGGCTCCTTCCGCTCCGTGTCTTCAGGGCACTTCAGTGGCAGGTCCCGGAGCGAGTGAAGGACCCGCCGCCGAATTTCAGCCGAAGACCCGGAGCGGAAGGACCGCCTGCTGCCGAATTTCTGCCAAGGGTGGCAAAACGCCGCGGCCCCCCCCCCCAAATCCTGCCGCCCTAGGCGACCACCTAGGGTCGCCTAGTGGAAGCACCAGCCCTGGTGGTGCCTGTGTTTCTCTAGCAGTGAGGTAGCAAGGAAGAGTTTGCAGCAGACATTAGCTTCATTGTTTATGTCTGATTTTGTAAGCAAGTAGTTTTTAAGTGAGGTGAAACTTGGGGGTGCACAAGATAAATCAGACTCCTGAAAGGGGTACAGTAGTCTAGAAAAGTTGAGAGCCACTGATCTAAATGACTGACGAATCTGTGTTTCCTTATTTAAAAACTCTCGATAGCTAAAGCGAATGAACATTCAAGGGGTATTGTTAAACTAAAACCTCACTTAATGCTTTACAATTTTAATTGCTTTAACTGCTCTCTTTCTCTCTAATAAAAGGTTATAAAGTTTTGGTTTTGTAAAGGTAGCTGTTGCCATTGAACTGAGCAGGCTGAGACCTTTGTACCCAAAACCTCAAACCGTGTTTGACTGTTTAGTGTTCTACGGCAACAGGGTCATGTTAACATCTGACTTTCTGGGCCCACTTATTCCATCATAATTAACAGCTTGCTTGGCACATGGCTCACAGCTGTGAAACTAGTCCCAGAATTGGTCAGGATGAGCATGAACCACAACACATACAGATCAAACTACACAACCCTCTCCTCCACTCTAGCTGTGCCTCCTTAGCACCAACAAACCCCAGAACTAACGCCTCTCCTGAGAGGAGTCTCTCTGTCAAGATGGTCTCTCAACCTGGGTCTTTGCATTTTGTGGATGGTGCCTGGCGTGAAGGTGGAGGAAGGTTCCAAAAAGGACAGTACCTGGAGCAGACACTTTGGATGGCTCGACTGAGTCGAGAGGGAGGAACTGGAGGCTGTAGCGCTAAAGCAAAAGCTTGTATTTTAACAACTTTTTTTCTCATATGCTTTATTTTCTTGTTATATGGCAGCTTTGTCACTGGAGGTTTGCAACCATGGCGGCCCTTCAGTATGGTCCTCTGCTAAACTTTGGATGAACAGTCCTTTTGATCCACCCAGAATACCACATCATCCATGCAAGCTCTTCTTTTTCTGCTACCAACTTTCCCTTCCAGTGCCCGTAAGCATGCACGTCAGTGGGTGGCAGATAGTGGAACGATCTTCAGATATGGAGGTTCTCTACGATATCAGCAGAGAAACCTCTCAAATAAGCAGTGTGGACAACATGACGGCATTACTAACAGGATGTGGTGGAGCAGCACATGCCACTGCTGCCCCTATAAAATACCACCAACGTCCAAAGACAGTACTGTGACATGGCGAGTGCAGGCCACCATGCAATCAACCTGCAGCCAAAATTCCTGCTGCTTTCTGGCTAAAGGCGAGGTTCCAAACTGAAAAAGTGGCTGCAGTTGATTCTTGGGGCCTTTGTGCAGTATTAGCCCCAAAGTTACACAATGATAACCCATTATACCATGCTTCGTCGTTTTCCAACAGATTATCTATGACTATGTAGCCCTGTGGCCTGAAGATCATAGGGAAAGGCGTTCTCTGCTGCCATCTACCGGTAATCTGCAGGAAGAGACAGGATGAGCCAGACCTTAGTTGCAGGGTTGACAGTAGAGCTGGGCAGAAAATGGTTTTCATGTCCCAAGTGAGGTCCTTGGCTTAAGGACACAATCATTCAACAGAGATTTGTACCGCATAATATCCAGGAGTGTAGATGTGGGGAGGGAGGAAAGCAGGGTATATTTTAGGAGCTCCAATTACTGGTTTGTAGCCTGTTTTATCTTCCCCTGATTCCTCTGTATTTCATGGGCTTCAGGAAAACCTGCGGAAGCCGCCTGAGAGCTGCTTGGAGGGATATCATCACTCACAAGCAATCACAGCCCTCACCCATATGGAGTAGGCTTCAGTGTCTTCTCTCAGTAGCTTTGGAGACAGCTAGCTGTTCCGTGTTGTACCATTTCAGTGATGTTTGAGAGGAGATTTAAGTGCGAGCTAGTTAGTCCCCGGACTGTCCCAAACCATTCCTGCTGGGCACCTTCATTCCCAATTAGAAATTGTTTTTAATCATGGAAGTCACACCTTGTTTTGACATGACACAGGGCACTGCGGGGGTCTTGGAGGACTCTGAGCAGTTAGGAAGCTGCCCTTTGCTTTGTCTTTTTCTGAAAGAAACCCCCCGTGCAGAGAGTGAGATGTCACTGGAGTCCTAAATCCTAATGTCACGACATTTTCCCACACTTTTCCATGTTGGTACCGGTATTAGCCTAGATAACTTCTGCTCCATTATTTTCCTCCCATTGGAAAATACAATTGGAGGTGACAGATGTGTACTACTTTAGTGTCATAAACAGGGCCGGCTCCAGGCACCAGCTTACCAAGCAGGTGCTTGGGGCGGCCACTTCGGAGAGGGGCGGCACGTCCAGCTGTTTGGCGGCAATTCGGCGGATGGCCCCTCACTCCTGCTCGGAGCAAAGGACCTCCCGCCGAATTGCCGCCGCAGATCGCAATTGTGGCTTTTTGTTTGTTTGTTTGTTTGGCTGCTTGGGGCGGCCAAAACCCTGGAGCCGGCCCTGGTCATAAAGATTCCTCCCTTAAACACCTTTTGAAGGGAGAGAAACATCTGAAGTTGCTATCCTTGTCCAAAACTATTATGACATTAGATGCTCTGGATCCGATTGTGCTCTTGCAAAACATGTTGTTATAATGTGCTGGTCCACTGCTAGAGCAGATGAAGAACCATTTCTCGCTGTAAAACCCCTGTTGACTTACAATTCCTCTGGACTGCGGTAATAGTTTGAGTCAGTGAAAACCCCATTTTGAATCCAGCTTGGTGGAAACAGTTGCTATATGACATGGAGCATTTCTTCAGTTGCGGGAATCAGTTGTTGCTTCTAAATTGCAGCTTCATTCACCCGATGCATGTCAACACAAAAATGGACCTCTGAATTTTAAGGAACTACTATTCAGTAGTCACCATATGCTCATCTACTGCATTTGAAACCCATCTTTGAATATAAATAGTCTTCCATTTGTAAATGCAAGCAAAGAGAAAATTCTTTCAGTATAAGATCTAGAAACAATCAGTCCTGGGTTATACAGAGGGTTGCCAACCCTCCTGGTTTCGCCAGGAGTCTCCCAGAATCAGGCCATATATCCCAGAGGCTACTGAAGCCAGTCCGGGAGATTTTTAGCCCGCTTAAAGTCTGGCAGTGCAGCAGAGCTAAGGCAGGCTCCCTGCCTGCTCTGGCCCCGCGCCACTACCGGAAGCAGCCGGCACGTCCCTCGCTGTGGCCCCTGGGGTGGGACAGAGGTCTCCGTGCACTGTCCGTGCCCTGAGCACCGACTCCACAGCTCCCATTGGCTGGGAACTGCAGCCAATGGGAGCTGTGAGGGCGGCGCTTGCGGGCGCGGGCAGTGCGCAGAGACCCCTGCTCCTCCCCCAGGGGGAGGACATGGCGGCTGCTTCCTGGAGTGGTGTGGGGCCAGGGCAGGCAGGGAGCCTGCCTTAGCCTGCAGCACTGCTGCCCGGAGCCACCCGAGGTAAGTGCCTCCTGGCCAGAGCCTACTCCCTGTACCCCCTCCTGCACCCCAACCCCCTACCCCAGCCTGGAGCCCCCTCCTACACTCCAAACCCAGCCCCCTGCCCCATCCCAGTGAAAGTGAGTAAGGATGGAGGAGAGCGAGCGACGGAAGGAGAGGGGATGGAGTGGGTGGGACCTTTGAGAAGGGGCGGGGCGTTAGGGAAGGCTGCAGTGGGCGGGGCAAGGGTGTTTGGGTTTGTGTGATTAGACAGTTGGCAACCGTAGTTATACAGGAAGCATCTTCCTGCCACTTCTTACTCCGCCAAAAAGAAAAACTTTGAATAATCTTTCTCTAAAGAAAACGTGGTGTTCATCTGTAATAGTCATGCAACTCTTGTATGGCTATGGTTTGTGAAACTGCTTGACCTTCGAAATAAACAGCTATTTTAAAATGTAGTGACTGATTTACTGAATATTTGAAATGTGGTGGCATTCTTTTAAAAAAAATAAACAGATATCCCTCCCTCTACAAAGCTATTTTCCTTCCCTAGTCTCTGAAATTGTCTTCCCTTGGTGTATACAGAAAACACACACTTACTGGCCTTTTTTCCCCAGCAGTGACTTCAGCGCTCTCCTTGCACTGAAGGAAGGGAGTGCCTCATACACCTAGCCCCTGAGACTACAACTCCCAGCCTGCCCCGCTGCCTTGGTCTGGTAAAAGGCTAGGCTAGCTGACAGCACAGTAGCTGTTTGGTCCCTCAGGGAGGAGAGAGAGATGAGAGTTCCAACCCACCCTGCTCTCTCTCAGAAAGCCAGTGTGAGGCCCCAATCCGAGTTACCAGTTTCTGCCACAAAACTCAAAATTACCTACTTGAGGCTACTTCTGCTCCAGCAGTGACTGTCAGCTGCTGTGGCTGCAGAGGTATAACCTGCTCCCTACGATTTACCTTGAGCTCTCTGTCTCCAAGGACTGATGCACTGTTATGTATTGGTACTATATTACCATTGGGGATGCAGCAGTAGCATGCCAGTAAGTGACAGTGTAGGCAGCAACTCTATGCAGTGGTACCCAAATGCAGAATCCCCACTGTGTACATGTGCAAAACATCTGTGCAACAGTACACTTTCATCTGTGTGTTTGTAGTATGCACATCATTGGATTCCAAAGCTCCGCTATAGCCATGTGCACAACAGCTATATGACACCTTTAATGTGTGTATTTGTAATATGTACATAATTATTTTAGGTCACATGATTGTCTAGTTTCTATATACAAGGGGAGCTGCAGTGGTCAGGAACAAGCTGGATGTGGCCTACTGCCAACTTAATACTCCCTTTTGGGCTTCATTCTGTGACATTTGCTCACAAGAGTAGTCCTTACTTACACAAGTAGTTCCCATTCAAGTCCTTGAGTCAGTGATAGCATTTTCCCTTTAAGTCATTCCCGGATCAGAAATTGTTTGTTTTATTCTTTAAATGAACATTCCCCCACTTGTGCAGAGCAACACTGAAGACAATTTAGCATAATTGTGTGAAGCAAAACATCACTGAGGGAGAACATTATTTCATTTTATAAACATTAGGGACGACTTTCTAGTCAAGTTTTTAATGATAACACTTCATGCATGAGAACTCTACTGGTGTGGTGAAATCAAATTTAGCTTTTAATTCGTACGTTGCATTTCACAACAAACTGTTCAAGAATTCTGTGTGTGTGCGAGAGAGAGAGGACTTGTGAGTCTATGGGATTTGGTTTCCACAACAACCAGCTCCAAACATGCCTACAGTATGCAAGATGCACTGGGAGCTTATCATTTGAGCCTGCCTGCCCTGAGGCAACACTGCAAGAGTTTGTGTTTTTAAAAACCGTAGCTACACACTTATTTGCACTGTCATTGAATGGGGAGCATTTTATAAATCCAGTCCATGCACCAGTGACAAAGCTAGATGCCATCTTGCATGTGAGAGTTTTACCCTGAGTTGTGCAACACGTAAGGTATGTATTTTGATTTTTGCAGTTTCAGCTCACAATCAAATTGAAAATACCATGGTATTCTAACTAATTATTGTAACATACTTCTGGAATTAAATTGTCTGATGCTCAGAGTAAATTGGATGTTTCCTGGAAACTTTTTTTAAAATGTAGATTATATGCAATCTGTTTGATAGACCTTCTGGGCTTTGGCAGACGAGGATCATGCCGCAGGACCATCTTCCTGCCAATTTGCAAGTTCTGTTCCAATCCATGGAGGCATTATGGGCAGCAATTGTAAAATCACTTAAACCTCATGGAAAGTTAATGGCACTTAGGTTCCTCATTGTCTAAGTCTGCTTTGAAAATGGGACCTTGGTGTGTTTGAAAAAAATTGCCCTAAAGCTATTAAAAAAAACAACAAATAAACTTTAAATTGGTAAAACTACCTGTTTTCCCTGATCTTGTTCTTAGAAATGACTAAATCATTTTCAGTGAAAAATTAAAAAAAAAAAAAAAAAAAATCAGTTTGAGGCATAGACCATGAGTGAATGATTTCAGCCTGAGCAGTTAGAATTTGCCAGTTCTGGGCAATTGAAGTCACATAGTAATGAGCCATAATGACAACCTGAATAGTAGAACTGGTGAAAAATTTTCCAACCAACAGTTTTCCATTTAAAAAAAAATGCACATTTGACAAAATCTCAAAGTGTCATGGGAATGTATAAATTTCCACAAAACTTTAGCTAGAATTATCACAACATTTCATTTTGACTTTATCATTTTGGTTCGACTATCACTTCCATTTTGATAGTACAGTAGAACCTCAGAGTTATGAACATGACGGGAATGGAGGTTGTTCGTAACTCTGAAATGTTCATAATTCTGCACAAAATGTTATGGTTGTTCTTTCAGAAGTTTACAACTGAACATTGACTTCAAACAGCTTTGAAACTTTACTATGAATAAGAAAAATGCTGCTTTCCCTTTATTATTTTTAGTAGTTTACATTTAACAGAGTACTATACTGTATTTGCTTTTTTTTTTTTTCTTTTCTTTTTTTGGTCTCTGCTGCTGCCTTGCGTACTTCCAGTTCCGAATGAGGAGTGTGGTTGACTGGTCAGTTCGTAACTCTGGTGTTCGTAACACTGCGGTTTTACAGTATATAATATACTATACATTAAATAAACATATAAACCATAATATATCAGTAGAAATGATAAAGTAGAAACAAAATGTTTCAACCTTATCTAAATCAAGGCTTTTGATAAAAATGAAATATTTCAGAATATTTCATTTTGCAAAAAATTCCCAGATTTTGACTTTTTTTAAACCAAATTTCAACATTTCCCCAGAATGGCAATTCTGTCATTTGGCCAGCTCTACTTTATAGGATCACTACCAGCTTCCCCTAGAGCCGTTCTTAGGGCCAGGCTTTTCTCTGAGGTTGAGTGATGGAGCAGGCTTGCCCCCTGGACAATGTGTGCCAACATGGGGGAGTTGCCTAGCCATTTGGAATTTGAATGTTTAACAACACTGCAAATAAGAACACCAGAGAGACTCCAGTGATGTTCATGTGCTTCATTAAAAGCCCCATTACTTCCAGCACCGACCAGAAGTGTTTGCTTTCAGGTACCAGGAGAAAATGCCATCTAAGTACTTTCAAGAACGCAACAAACGGAAGTTCTCGGATTCCCTTAACAGCCAGCGCTGGAGATTCTTGAAAAGCGGCCTGGATGATTTCAGAAGCGGCTTCCCTCCACCATCTGACAACATCATCATCTGTGGCACAAAGGGGCCTGTACCGATTGTTCTGCGTAATCACGCATCTGATGCTTCACGCATGGCCCAGCAGAAAGGAAGTAAAAAGTGCACCAAAACCCAAGTCAGCCCTTCCAAGCTCAGTCCATTGCAGAAAGCCAGGCGGGATCACATTGCACAAACAGAACACTGCCTGAGCCAGCACCCCCTAGCACTCTACCCTCATCTGGAAGAAAGCATCCCTCCAGAGGTAAAGGTTCCATGATTACTGCTGTTCTTCTTTCAGACAAGTGTCTTTCTGGCAAGTTTAAACACAAATAATTCAGTTGTCAGCTGTTCCTTATATAGAAAATCTTCAGAATATGTGACTCCTCATGGCAAGGTGAATGATCTTAAACATAGCGAGAGATCTGAACTGGCGTCAGTTTTGAGTTTTGTCACATTATTTGCAGTCAGTGAACCTGTCCCCATTCATTTGTCAAAATGTAACATGAGAAAGCATTATTTTTAAAGGGCTGCTTAGAAGTCAAGCACACGGGGCTGTATTTAGGCAGAGTGTGTAGCCAAAATTAAGTTTTATTACCAGACATCAAATATAACCAGATATTCCACGACAGTAAGTGTCTCTGCTCAAAATTAAAGAGGTAAGAGTTTGACCAAGATACCAGAGCAAGTCCTGACCTGATCCAACTCCCATTCTTCCCCAGCCTGTCTCTCGAACAGCCCCATCTTCCTCCAGCCTCTGTCCCTACCCATTCCCTGCTTCATGCAAAGAAGCAGCAGAGAGTAGTCAGCACACAGTTCTACCTCTGGTTTGGGGCAGGGAGCTTCTGCTATAGAGCTCAGAGGGACTCTGTACAGGCAAGCTGGGGGCAGACAGTGAAGGTGAGTGGGAGAGTTAACATGGTCATTTGGAGAGGAAGGGACCAGGCAAAGGGACAGGGTTAGTCTCGTGTTGGGAGAGGGGCAAGGGAGAGAGGAATTCATGGCAAGCATATTCCTCGTCAGGGCAGAATGCTATGAGGGAACATACTGGGGTAAGGATAAGAAGCAGTAAGAGCATCAGGAGAGTGTATTTAGTGTGTCAGGCAAACTCTTTGAAATTTGTGAGGTAAATGAGGAATCTTGGGTCTGATCAGTGAGACCCCAGGTCACAGCGTAGACTCAACTTCTGTCCTTGGGTTATGAAACAGAGGGACTTTTGATGAGATTAAAGGCAGTAAATTCAAAACCAATGAAAGAAAAATATTTCGCACAATGTATCATTAGACTGTGGAACTCATTGTCACAGTATACTGTTCAGGCCAAGAGCTTAGCATGAGTCAAAGAAGGACTGGACATTTATATAGATAACTATCCAGAGATACAGTAGTTAATGCTAAACAAGGTTTTGGAAGGGATGTTAAACCTTATGCTTCAGGTATGACACCAATCTCTAACTATTGGGGGATTGTATGAGTCCTTCATGGGGGCAGATTATCCCACATCTGCCAACTCAGGGGTTTCTTGCACCTTCCTCTGAGGCATCTGGTGTCTGGGACAGGTGAGTGGACAATAGGACTGATTCCGTCTGGTCATCGCTATGCTGTCCAGGAGCTCTGTTTGTAATGTGCCCCCTTACGCAGTCTCCATGGGAACTGCGCTGGTGTGAATACCGTGCTCTGTTCTTGTTTGGCTCTCAGCTTTTCGAAGAGGTTGTGGGCATCCTGGATCCTGAGATGCGCTTGAATAGCGAAGGTGGATACGAGGATTGTGACCGGGACAGCCACACCCCTCAGCAAGTGCAGTATCAGCTGGAGGATGGGAAAAGTAAAGAAGCATGTCCCAGGTCATCAGCCCTGTGAGTACTGGACAGGACAGTGCGAGCAGCACCAGGGCCACCTGAATCCACCTTCTGCTGCTGGGCCTGGGTTCAATCCAGTACAATCTCTCTCCTCTGAATGTAGCTGTATTGAAAGAGAGGAGTTGCCTGTTTCTAAGGCTGGGGGTACTTCATGCTCTGTGCCAATTCACCTTCAGAGCGTCTTGCCTGTCGGAGCATGTTTCACAGCCATGCGGAAGAACTGGGTCAGGGAGTGACAGTGGGAACCCATGTTCCCCAGATAGGTGGAGAACAAACATGGCCAACGCATGACCTTTCAAGTGTCTATTTACACAGGTGATATGGTAACGGTGCCACCTAGGGCCAGACACAGGTGAATTCTCTGCTGATGTACACCCCAGGTAACCCTGACAAAGTCAGTGGTGTTTCATGGGACACAAGTCAGCACAGAACTTGGCACATGGCCCAAAGCAAGTTTCCCCACATTACGCTCTTCTGCAAATACATCTTAATCCTGACACATAGCCCCCGGCTATGTCAATCCCCGTACTTTCCTGTGCAGAAAAGGACAGTTGTCACATTTCCTTTCCATATGTGTAACCTTTGTACAGTATTTTTGACTGGTGTGTCCAAAAAGAGTTTGGGAGTCCTCTAGACCCACATAATATATCTTGAGGTGGTCAGTGTTCTGAGAAACACCTCATGTCTTTTACTGAAAAAATATTTCTTGGGTCAACCTTTTTAACAAAATCTGATACCAAAGGGACAGTATTTTTAGTTGGTGTTGGTCTTGCTTTGAGCAGGGGATTGGACTAGATGACCTCCTGAGGTCTCTTCCAAACCTAATATTCTATGGTTCTATGATCACAAAATACCCTTACTTGCATCCTTCAGATCAGGCATTGGCAACCTTTCAGAATTGGTGTGCCGAGTCTTCATTCATTCACTCTAATTTAAGGTTTTGCATGCCAGTCATACATTTTAACATTTTTAGAAGGTCTCTTTCTATAAGTCTATAATATATAACTAAACTATTGTTGTATGTAAAGTAAATAAGGTTTTTAAAATGTTTAAGAAGCTTCATTTAAAATTAAATTAAAATGCAGAGCCCCCCGGACTGGTGGCCAGGACCCGGGCAGTGTGAGTGCCACTGAAAATCAGCTCGCATGCTGCCTTTGGCACACGTGCCATAGGTTGCCTACCCCTGCTTCAGATTATACTGACTATAAACTGATGTCCTAGAATACACTAGTTAGTTTTGCCCAGAGGCTGCTATCAGGAATGTGGTCACATTGTGCTGGGTGCTGTACAAAACCACAAGGAGACAGTCCAACTCCAGAAGAGTTCACAGTCTAAACCAAGACAAGACATTCAGTAGTGATACAACAAGCAGGTAAGGGAGGATGAAGGTTCCAGTGTCAGAATGGTGTAGTGACAGACATGTATCGTTTGCCAGTTTAAAGGGTTGTTTGTTTTTAGCCAGATTACTTTTTCCCCCCAGAAAAATGCAGATCTGAACATAGGCCTGGCCTTCAAACCGTGGGACTTTCGCTAGATGCAGGATAGGTGGCTTCCCTATGTTTGTGAGACCAATTTGAACCAAGTCCTCCATAGGTGAACGTTTTATGTGATCCTCTGTAGTAGTGACTGTGCCGTGCCAGTTATTACTGGGTCTTGTTTGTGCTAATCAAAGACATTTTAGATGTTATTTTATAACATTAATATCTTAAGCAGCAAGGACTCCAAAGGCAAGAATCCACAGTACACCTACCTGTCCAAGAAAGAGGTAGCAGCAAGGGAAAAGGAGGCCAGTCTGAGCTACGTTCCTCCCCTGGATGAGAACGTAAGGCGAGTGACTAAGGAGTTTTGTGACTGGGTGGCTTCTTTGGTAAGTAAAAGAACCTGTAAAACCCCACACTCTCATTCCAGAAATGCAATGATCAAGACTGAGGCCAATGTTCTCCAGACTTGAGAACCTGGCACCCAAGTCTGAAAACATTCATCCTAATGTACAGGAACGTTTGGGGCATAACTGAGCTCAACCAGTTGGAAAGCAAGCAAACTACAAATGACTTATTCTGGAATACTGTCAAGTCAATTTGTTTACTCAGAGCATTTCCCTGCAGGAGGGGGACATAGTGTACTTGTCAGATTTCATATAGTTGCTCCATTCTGGAGTCACGTCCATTTATTTGATCAACATTAGTTCACCAATTCATGTATGGTTGTTAAATCAACTTTAAATGTGGCTACAGATTACTATGACGGGCACATTTTAAACATGTAAAAATCAATAGAACCAGCAGAAATCCGTTGTGGCTCGAGAGATATACCTTGGCTATCCTAAGGAAGATGGGGTCTGGGGATATGAGTGCTGAACTAGCCAAACCAGAATGACAGGGAGAGAAGCTGCTTTTCCCCCTCTTATGCTGTGCAATTGGGTTATTACTGCAGGGAGGAGAAAAATACAAAGTGGATGAAGCCACCATTCTGAGCTTGTTTGACACTGGATATGAAACCAAACTGGTGCTGTCTGTGCCCATCCATGTTGTGGAATTAAGCAATGTGCCAGCAGAGCTGAGAAAGTATCTGGGTGTTTCACCTCCACCAACTGCTGTCAAGAGTCCTCTTTGTACCAGGTGCCACCCATGCCTTGCCAAGGTAAACAGGCCTGGACCTACATTTTCAGATGTTTCTATTTATTTTAGGAGCTTTAATTTTTGGGTGCCCATCTTGATACGTTAAAGGGGAAGTGCTGAGTACCCGCCTTCTTCAAAACAGGTTCCTCTAAGGTGTTTGAAGCTGGGCACCAAAAATTGAGGCACTCAAAATCGCTGTCTGTTTTGAACATTTGTGGACCCTTATTTTTGCTTGGGGCAATACTCTAGAAAAAGGGCAAGATGGGAACTGGGAACATCATTTAGGGCCTAACCGTACAGTCCCTTTACCGGCCAAACTGCCACTGACTCGCAGATGTTTTGCTTGTATAAAGTACCTGATCCAACGCCCATTGATGTTAATTGAAAGACTGTAGTTGAACTCAGTAAGCTTTGGATCAGGTCCAGAATTGCAGGCTCCCAGCCAATGGGCCAAATTCAGCAGTGGTGTGAGATGGTATATTTAGACCCTCTTAAACCTATGCTGGTGTAACTCACAGACTGAGGACTGGGGAGCAAGTGCAAGTTAAAAGTACAGGATGACCACCTTTTAACTTACAAATTCTTACCCCTCCTGTTCATGGCTTTTCTTGCTACACGCTTTCATCTTAATCACCTAAAACTTGGGCAAAACGTTATCTACTAGCCACAGACCACTTGTGTCAAACCTGAAGAGGAAGTGACATTTCTGACAATTTTAGTGGAGAGGGCAAAGGTGGGCTGGATCTAGGCTTATAACAGAAAGCAAATCACAAATGTAGCTACGGAGAGATTACTGCTTCTCCAAAACTGTTGCTAGTTTTGCTTTAGAGACTATGATGGAAAGACATTCACTAGGTCAGTGACTCCAGAGCTGTGATCCTCTGAGACGTCCCTGGTCATCCACAAAATTAACAAGTCTGAGATGAGAACCAAGCTGTGGTTGCCTGCCTGGAATGAAGGGAGAGGTTCTGTGAGAGGATTGCTGTCTTGTGTGGATCCTTACCTAATGCTGTTTGCAATACAAAGAAAAATGAATGCAAGCAGGTAATTATTAGAGATAACCAATGAAACATTCACACTTATAGCGGGGCTAGGACTTATACCTGCTGTAGAGACCAATGGGAGACAATCAGCTGTACTCGATCCATCTCACATTCAATGAGTGCGGGATCCCATCCATTCATAAGGTCTGACATTCCACCCAGAAAAAAGCAGTGGTTCACATACACATGGTGGGAGGAGAGGCAAACGCAAACATGACTAGAGAGTATTACCAATTATCTTTTTACAGGATCCATCCCAACCAAAATGGGAGAAGATCAGGTATGGAGCCTGGTACCTTGAACCAAAAACATGGAGAAAACAAAGAGCAAATGAACCTTTAGAGGATCCAAACACAGCAGTGGATACCGTTCAGAATTTAAGGAACCAGTTTAGTGAAAAGGTACTGCAAGCACCCCTGGAATCTCGGTGGTGTAGTTCCCAACCAAGTGAATGGGCTTACACTGTTACTGGGATACGCCTGCTCACCATATATTGTCTGACACAGTCACAGTGAGGGGAATGGTTTATATTATCCACCCTACTCACCGTTGTGGTCCAGACATGGCAGTTAATTTAGCCCACAATAAATGGTGGCACAGCAATGCCTGTATATGGCTGCGATTGTAAAAGGCAGCTACGCACAGACCAGCAGTTATTTTGAAGGATTTTGTTTTAATTCAAGTGATTCTTTAATGCAGGTGAGAGCATTTTGCTTCAGTAAATAAGCAGATTAACCAGATACTTTCCAATGTGGCAAAAATTCCATTCCCTGGGAGGGATCAGGCATGTGACATGTCAACCCAGAAAGCATTGGGTTTTGGCTGCAGTATCCACCCATATAAACAAGGGTTCAAATTCATCACGGATATAAACAGACAACTACCCCTTACATACATTAGGGGATGTGATGAGTCATAAAAAATGCTATGATGAAGTGCTACAGAAGGTCGAGCATTATTATCAGACTGATGGTGAACAGCAGAGGGGCTCATTTTGTAACCACTGTATTTACATTTTGTTCTCAAACAGGTGTCAAAGCGGTGCTCACATCCCCCAGACTCCCTAGTTTTATGTTTAAGGAACAGTAAAGATACTCTTGGCCCACTAGAGGGCAGTGCTTCCGAAGTTCAATTCAAGAATTTAGCAATTGCTCACTTTGAAAGAGGGAACCAGATTTTTAAAACAATGATTGTTATACAATCTTGGTTTGTTGAATTACAATGAATAAGTGGCAGTCTCGTTGTTTTCTACTTTAAAGCTGTCAGAGAGCATCAGATTCTAGGACCCTTGATAAAGATGCAAAGGGCTTCTTTTGACTCACTCTGATGTCAGACCAGATGGGTTCTGTTAGCTTCAGATCAGGAGTACAAGAGGGTTTGAATGTCTCTGAGAATGAAGGTTAGAGACAGAGGAATCCTGCAAGGAAAAATTGGTGGAGACAACGAAGGTCAATAGAATGCTTAGGCGGAGGATAAGATTCGGGTTTGTTAGTACTGTTTAAGACAACAATAAAGGCAAAGCCCGGGGAGAGGTAAGTTTGAAACAGATCCTGTTAGGAGCAGGATGGGAAGTCTGCTTCATCTGAAAGCTTTACAAAATCTGTTGATCCTTGATTTGATAAGGCATTTCTTGAAAAACAAGGTACTGTACAGTTCAACCACGTTATTGGGCTCGATAGTGTTCACTTACATAGTAAGGAAGAATAATTTCCTCTTCTGCAAGAATTCCTGGGTGATTTCTATGGCCTGTGTTATACAGGAGGTCAAATTAGGTGACCGTAAATTTGATTATGATCTGTCTTTAAAAAATCACACTTCAGGGTTGTGAAGTAACCAGATCTCTATAAAAAGCAACAGAGAGTCCTGTGGCACCTTTAAGACTAACAGATGTATTGGAGCATAAGCCTGTGACATGCGTCTGACGAAGTGGGTATTCACCCACGAAAGCTTATGCTCCAATACATCTGTTAGTCTTAAAGGTGCCACAGGACTCTCTGTTGCTTTTTACAGCTCCAGACTAACACAGCTACCCGCTACCCCTCTGATACAGATCTCTATAAAAGCAGCAAATCAGAAATCGGTTAAGCTAATTAAGATGCCTAATGGTTAATTGGTGTTTGTTGTAGCGATGAGAATTTCACAGAAATCCCCTTTGTGGTGGACTCAATGAGGGTGTAAATAAAAATAAGTTTCACAAGCTTACTTTAAGTTTTCCCTTCATATGAAGCTGTTCAAGTTTGGTTTGGAAATTCCCCTAGGAGGCAGAGCTCCTGCAGCTCCACGGAACACACGCGTTTAAGGAATTCCTCGAAAGGAAGGGCTACCGGAAGCCTGAGGTAAGTCAGTGAGAGTGTAACAGCTGGTCGACATGATCACAACAGCATGGGCCGTGGTGCCCTCGGCCTGTGCATTCAGGAATCAGAGCCGTGCTTGCTGTAGCTCTGCTCAGGCACCGTTGTTTCTAGCACAGGCTCCCTGACCCACGTGGACGGGGATTTTTAGTCTCAGACCCATACGAGAAGCTGGTTATACAGCCATGCTATGCACTAGCTAGGGGTGTAATTTATGGGCCCCATCCGCACAACAAGGTGTAACATATCCGGGTACCATGCTTTAGTGTGGTTTGGTTCTGCTCAAGCAAGCCAGGAACAGTGCTCTTAGCTCGGGGGCCAGATTCAAAACCCTGATGCAAGTTTATGCTACTCCACACAGCCAGACTGCTAATATCATTAGGCCTGCATTTGTCCTCCGGGCAGTTAACACAGCTTTGATAGATCAGTTCTCGTTTAGAAAACAAACTAAAAATACGCACTGCTCAGGGAAACAGCTTAAACCCGTCTGTTAATAGCTTGTTGGAACAGTGCTGCTGTCATCTGGACAGGATTTTTAAAAGGTGTAAGCGTAAGGGAAGCTTGCACTTCTGTTGTTACCAGTATGGTAACCGTGCGTATACAGAAAATCTCATTATCGTGGGCTATCGGGCACCATTCCATCAGGTCTAAACTGCTTTCCATAAAAAAAATCTATATGTAAACACAAATCACATTGGTTTCTTGATCCCCTGCAATTCCTTTAAAATATTTTTGTATTAAACAGTCAGCCATTTAAGTGCATTGCTAGTAATTGAGAGTGTGTGTGTGTGTGTGTGTATATGTGTATATGTGTGTGTGTATGTGTGTGTATGTATATGTGTATATATATGTATATGTGTGTATGTATGTATATATATATGTATGTGTGTGTGTATATATATATGTATGTGTGTGTGTATATATGTGTATATATATATATATATATATATATATATATAGTGTTTTGTTTTAGTTCCTCTTGCAGATGCTGGCTGCAAGGGATGCCAATGGAGCACAAGAGCAGACTTCAAAGGGCTACAAGAAAGAGTCTCTGAAGAGACCCAAGGGGCTCAGAGAAGGATCTTCCTCCACAATTGTTAATTAACACGGAGTTCTGACTTTATTCACAAGAAACAGAAGAAGCCCTAGTGAAACTGCTCCTGGAAGTCCCCCAAAATAGTAATCTCAAAGATAGATTGACTGTTTCCTTCTTTAGAATTTGCTAGTCAAATATAGTTTAAAGAGAACTACTTGGATTTATGAATTCCAGACACAGGCCAGCCGTCCTGGCTGCTCAGCCACGGTACAGGCTGGCTGGGACACCCGGTTACATTCTAGAGATTTCAGCTCGACTTTACTGCACTAATTGGGTTAAGAATCATGGTCTGGTTTGTTACTTGCTAAGTACCAATGTTATCCTCAGTGCTGTATTGTCCTTTCTCTCAAGGAGCTTGCAATCCAACAACTAGATTATTTCTTTAGGCGCATAAATGTTACCAATCTAGGTATCCCCAGGAGACATAGTGTCTCAAACCAAGTCTATGCTAGAAAAGGTTTGCCTTCAGAGGAAACCCTCCTAGTGCTCTTGGCAGTGTAGCTTATACCATTCCCCCAGTGAGATAAGCTATATGGCAAAAGCACTTTTTTATGACACTGTCAACGCTATGGCTTCTGCTGGTATAGAAATTCATTTTAAAAGAAAAATCACCTCCTTTAACCAATGTTGTTATATCAGCAAGAGTTCTAGTGTAGACCTGGCCTCAGAGGCAGCGTTTCTTCCCTGATTACTGTTTGCACCAGGCATAGGTGCAGGAAGTAGGGGTGCAGGGGGTGCTGCAGCACCCCCAGATTTTGCGCCCACCGGCTCTGCACCCATGCCGCCCCCCGTCCTGGCCACCAGCCCCTGCCACCTGCCGTCCCTGCTACCATCCCTGCTGCCACCCGGGGGCTCCGCTGCCAGCCCCAGGTCCCACTCAGCCACCCACCCCGGGTCCCGCTTGGCCACTGGTCCCATGCCCAGGGGTTTGCTGCCGGCCCAGGGTCCCGCTCAGCCACTGGCCTCGGGGGCTGCGCTGCTGGCCCCAAGGTCCCACCCGGCCGCCGGTCCCGGCTGCTGGCCCCAAGGTCCTGTCCACTGACGCCTGGATCCTGGCCACTGGTCCCTGGGTCCTGGCCACCAGCCCTGGGATCCTGGCTCCTGGCCCCACATGAGAGGTCTCGGCTGCCGGCCCCACGCCTGGGGCTCCGCACCCGCCTCTAGCTGTGGCCTCACCCTCCGCCGCCTTATCCCTGTCTGCGTCCCCCCTTCCTAGAGCCACGGCCCTGCTCCCGGCGCCAGCTCTAGGGGGCGGTGAGGGGCACAGACAGAGGTAAGAGGGATGCAGCTCAGCACCCCCACTCCAAAAACTGTTCCAGCGCCAATGGCACCAGAAGGAGGGGGAGGTAGAAATTTGTTGCTGGCCTGTATGTCTGCAGCTCCCAGGGGGGTAGTGCAGCTCTGCACTATCTCCTGTGTTTTACAGGCACATTCGAGGGAAGCAAAGGAGGGAGAATGAAGGGGGAAGGAATAATTTTGTGAGGGGAAGAAAGCTGGAAGAGCAGTGTAACTGGCAGAAGGGAGCTCTGGGGACAGAGCTGAATGCAGAATGTGCATTACATTATAGTCCCTTCATGTGCTTTTTCCTTGCAGATTTTTACTGCCATCTGGCCTGGCCAGCCTTGGTTGATCTCTGTTTTCCAAACTTGGTTCGCTGCAGTCTGGCAGCATTTTTGAGGAGCAGGGCCCTATTCAATTAATCTTGATGTACATTTCAGTCTTTACTGCAGATTGTCCAGCCAACCCTGCTTCCAACTTTGGAATAAGTGTAGATTTCCCTTTACTGAAAGGGTCTCTAAAAAGCTAGCAAAAATCTCTTTCTTAGTCTCAAACTAGGGGGAGCAGCACCACACAGTTACAAATTAGAATGAGGACAACAAACTCACCCCCCTGGAGTATTTAGAGCAGGTGAGCATAGGACACCATCAGTTTGTTAAAAAGCTAAGCTCTGACTACTTTGTGCAGTGTCTAGGGACAAAAATAGCTCTGGTCAATACATCCCTGTGGGTCCTGACACAGAAATTATTGCAAATGGAAGATGCCCTGGAAAAGAACCATGTCTGATCTGATAGGCCAATGGTACCGAAGTCAGGAGAGGGCATCACCTACCACAGTGGTGGCAGCAGCAGCAGAAAGTCCTGCCTCACTTAATTGGTTAGATAAAGAACAGAGATGGAATATTTTCTTAATGACAATCATGTCTATTACATCAGACACAATTACTCACATATAGCCCAATCTCGCAAGCTACATAGTGATCTAAAGTCTTTGCCAAGGAATGTATCCGTCATCAATATTCCTCTCCCAACATTCGCTAGGCAGCACCTAAGCGCTTTCCTCCCCTAACACTAACATAGACCTAGGAGAGCCTGTGTTATAAACAGCCCCGGACTCCTCCTCTTCCCAGCATGTTGTGCTAAGAGGAGATGAACTGTTTCCTCCCTCTTTCAACAGAGCGAGCCTGCTCTGTATTACTGCCCTGGGTGTATTCTTCAGCCAGGGAAGGACCAATCTCTCGGCCTGTTTTCTGTTTGGCTGGTTTGTTTGCTTGGTTGGGGCTTTTTGCCTAAACCCAGGCCACCCCTGTCTGATAACAGGGCAGGGGGAATCTGAGGTCTAGATACCCCTCCTTCAGTCTCAGGGTCCTAAATAAACAATTTGGAGGGACTCAGTCCTGCTTTCTTGCAAATGTGGAGTGAAATCCTGGTGCTATTGAAGTCAGTAGGGCCAGGATTTCACCCATGGCCTTTCCTACCTCCCAGGGATGGCCTGTTACAGGGCCCTGTTACAAATGGTTATTAAAACAGAAGAGAGGGTCTGAGCATGTAAACCTGCTAGAAAAAGCCTCCTGTTCCTCTTTGCTTTGCTTTCCCCCCCAGACTAGATTCCTCGGTTCAGGGGCGGCTCCAGGCACCAGTGCAGCAAGCGCGTGCCTGGGGTGGCAAGCCGCGGGGGGCGGCCTGCCGGTCGCTGTGAGGGCAGCAGTCAGGCGGCTTTCGGCAGCATGCCTGCGGGAGGTCCACTGGTCCCGCAGTTTCGGCGGCAATTCGGCGGCGGGTATGCCGAATCCACGTTACCAGTGGACCTCCCGCAGGCATGCCGCCGAATCCACGTTACCAGCGGACCTCCCACAGGCATGCTGCCGAAAGCCGCCTGACTGCCATGCTTGGGGCGGCAAAATACATAGAGCTGCCCCTGCCTCTGTTGGTATTACTGGGCGCCCCAAACTGTGCTTCAATAGGGATTTGGGGACCTAGGCTCCAGTTCTGCTCCCTTGGAAATAAAAGGGAAAACTCCCATGGACTTCACAGAAGCAGTATAGGGTTTCTAGTGAGTGATGTGGAGGTAACCTAATAAGTGTGGGCTTGTTGCATGTCTTCTGGGACTGTCCTGTTTATTGAAACCAAATTTGTGCCTTCTTCTAACCCCGTTTTATTGGGCATAGTATTCTTGGTGGGTTTTTTACACTCAATGAGAGCACGTGCTCTCCTCTGGCTGTGTAGCACCGGCTATGGGAACAGTTATTCCTACATTTTCAAAGCACTGCACCAGCTTTTGCCCATGAGACTTGCAGTAAAGTCCACTTGAATCCCCCTGAGGGTGAGGGACCACTCTCTGAGCCCAGGTGGGCGGAGCCAGGCTGTGCCCACCCCTTCCACCGGAAGTATAAAGGGCAGGTCCTAGACCTCAGTTGGGTGGCAGCTGCCGGAGGAGACAGACACCTCCTGCCCACTCCTGAGGCTAGAGACTGAAGAGGAGCCCTGCCGAGCTGAGGGCTGGCCAGAGCTGCCAGCCGACCGAGGCGTCACTGGCACTGCCACTGGCCATCTACCCTGGAGAAACGGTCAACACCCACACCTCCAGGTACACCCTGAGGGGAGGAAGTGGCCCAGTGACAGCCATTTAATGTCAGGCTGTGATTTAAATTGGCTCAAAAGGGTATTTTAATCTTCTGTGACCTCATTTTCTTGATCAAATGTGGGCACTATAAAGGTTGTTGTCTTGTCAGTAGGGAAGGTGTTTTGGATTTGAATTGGCAGGCCTGATGACAAGCACTGTTTTGGTTTCTATTTGAAGGCACTCATGCTGTACAGACCTAATATGCCAGCCACACAGTAAGATCCTGCAATTTACAACATGCAGGTACATGAACTGCAGGATTAGGGTCTAAACTGGCTCACAGCGGCCCATTCATGCAATGTGTCAAGCACTTTGAACATGTAGGATGGATCTTGATATGATAAAGCAATGAAGCTTCATTGCATCATTGAAATTCCTTGATGAAAGTATAAGCATCTAATCAATATGTCAGAATGGGTTTGCCTGTAACTCTAATTAAGGCTACGATGGGTATTTTTAGTAAAAGTCATGGACAGGTCATGGGCAATAAACAAAAATTCACGGGCGTGACATGTCCATGACTTAGGGTACGTCTACACTTACTTCCTGGTTCGGCGGCAGGCAATCAATCTTCTGGGATCGATCCCGGAAGTGCTCGCCGTCGACGCCGGTACTCCAGCTCGGCGAGAGGAGTACGCGGCATCGACGGGGGAGCCTGCCTGCCGCGTCTGGACCCGCGGTAAGTTCAGACTAAGGTACTTCGAATTCAGCTACGTTATTAACGTAGCTGAATTTGCGTACCTTAGTCCGAAGTGGGGGGTTAGTGTGGACCAGGCCTTATACTATAAATACCCCTGACTAAATCTTGGCAGTGGGGGGGGGGCAGCAGCACCAGCTACTGGGGGCTATAGTTAGAACTATACTATAGTCAGTTATTTAGTGCAAATTCTTCTTCTTCCCCTTGAAGATTGGAGGAAAACCAATACAGACCAGACTTCCTTTTAATGCCATTTAAATTTCACACACAGATAGTTGCAGAAAAATCTATTTAATTACTTCAAGCTTGCTAACAAAGCTGAAATCATGGGTACATGGCTCTTGCTCTATTTTGTTGCAACATGAAATCTGCCAGGGTTTCTCAGAATAGCCTAGGGATGTGCAACCAATTT